TATATATGACTTCCAACTAAAAGTGTAGCAGACGATCTTCGAAATGAAAGACCTGTATATGAATTGGCATTTTCAAGTTGAATAAAATTAGCCACTGCTTCAGGTACCTTATAAAACTGATTGCTACCCACAACCTGATTGATACTTTCCATTGCGATATGCATAAAACAGGCGGCGATCCTTTACTGCTGCTGGACGAAGGGCTATGAACATTCGGTAAAATTCAATATATTCTTCAGTAACTACAAATCTCCTGTTTACACCATTCTTTGTTTGCTTGAGTTTCACAATTAATAACGTTCCCGAATCTTCAATACCATCTAATGTTACCTGGCTGATTTCACAAATTCGAATTCCAAATACAACAACAACCTTGGCCATTAAATATACTTCATCGGGAGAATTATTTACAAAGTCACTAATATGTGTACTCCTAAATATCGCAGCTTTCCTAGGCGTGCAACCTATTCCATTTTGTTTCAGAAATGAAATTAGTTCGAAATATTGTGAAATGTCTACATCATTTTTGGATTGTAACATACTTCTAATCATTGAATAATTCGACCACACTGTTAATGGCTTTTGTTGTTGTGCCAGTTCCGAAAAATAAGCCAATAACACCGTCTCCGAGGAAGAACTGCATGCCTTTTTTATCTTCCATTCCATGAATATTTCATAAATTTTCCGCGATATAGCCGGCAATAATTTTTGTGACGCTACTTTCGCTGCTTCTACTAACTCCGGTGGAGTCAGAGAAAACTTTTTTTCTCAGAATAACTACTGACCACTAAGTTCGCAATTTTTAAATCAAATCAAAGAAATAAATTGACAGATATCTGATTTTCTATTGATTGGTTTCCTAGCAACGCTATCAGTACAACAGTCTACCTGTTTAAAAATTCAAATTTCACATCGATAATTTTCTGACTTTAAAATATTGTAATAATATGTATTTTCAATATCAAATCGTCATTTTTCCCGTCACAGAAAAAAAATGGTGCATTATACACAGGAAATATATTAGATTTTAGCTCTCGGTTTTTTGTCACAACCTCGCACTAAAATCTCATACTTTTTTCTCTTGTATAATAAATAACTATTTATCCATGCGTCTTCGGTTTGGTAGCCAAATTTGAAACCCCTCAATTAGTAAACTAATCAGGGCGCATATAGCATAGGTATGGATCCAGACGTATACATTTTCATGGAAAGCTACTGTAACACAACGGAGATCAACAGTAATTACAGAAATCATTGGTCTCTGTCACAGATCTCGAACAATGCAAAAAGAGGAGAAAGGTAGATTGGCATGTTTCATATGAATGTGTGGCCTTGGAACACAGGAGGTGAACAATTTATGTACAACCGAAAGTATATCCAGAAGAATATGACAAACACCTATGGAAGGTCCTGTACGATTTGGTACGGGCAACGAAATTATTGAAAGTGGAAAATTGGTACAATTGTTCGTCTCACAATTCAAAAATCATGGGTTTGAAGGCGACGAAAAGAAAAAAAAATAAATGAGAATAACGAGAAATGAAAAGAAGCAAAGAGGAGAAACGATAGAATATTGCGAATACAATTATAGCTACAAAAAATGGAAGAAGGAGAATGCAGAAGAAAAAAAGAATTGGAAAATAGAGAAAAAAAAATTAAAGAGTGTAGTATCATATTCCATGTTTATTATTTTACTTCTTTCATCTGACAGTTCGAATGTTCTGTGATGTCAATGATGTCAATAAAAAGAAACACATCGACTATCAGTAAAAGGTGATTATTTTAATCAACCCAACCATACCACATTTTATGGCGACGAGGATAAACCAGTGAGAGTTTAGAAGACAGATAAACATATCAAACAGTACGACGAAAACATTCAACACAAGCAGCCAACAAGCTGAACCAACCAGATAATTTGAACTGTGTCAAGGGAAAAATGTCAACTGATACAGAATACTTGAGATATTTCCAGTTTGAAAGATTTCCTCCGGAAAAAGATGGCTGGGAGTATTACATACAACGTTTCAAAATGGAATTACAACTTCATGGTCTGGACACAAACGATGAGCCTACTAAAGTGAAACGACGTAATTTGCTTTTGAGCAAGGTAGGACCTGAACATTTTAAGATTCTGGTTGATCATTTCAAGCCAGATGAAGTGACAACAAAATCTTTTGACGATATCGTGAACGTACTAAACAAATATCATGGTGAAACGAAATATATTCTGTCTGAAAGGGTAGCATTTGCGCTCCGTTATCGAAAGGTCAGTGAAATCATTACCCAGTTTATGAACATTCTCCGTGGACTGGCAGGAAATTGTGAATTTTCCGATAGTTTGAAGGAACGTCTTCAAGATCAACTAGTTATTGGTATCAACAACATGGCCTGGCAACAGGAATTAATTAGGTTACATCCAAATAATACAGCCACCCTAGAAGAAATTGAAGCAACAGCACTTATTTTGGAACAGGCTGCGTTACAGTCAAAACAACTTTCGAATCTATCAGGACAGTTTGATGTCAAGCATACAAATGTAGTAAATTCAGATTTTAAACGAGCAAGTCGAGAATTTCTTGAACGTAACGACAGAAAAAGAATACACGACATGTACATGTTGCTGAAACGAAGGACGGCAATGAAAGTGGTGATAGTTATAGCTCTACTAACACAACAAATGTACGAAACATATATTCCACAAACAAGTTCATGCTCATGACAAAAATAAATGGCAAAGAAATAGAGATGCTATATGATCCAGGGGCTACACATTCCGTGTGTGGTAAAAAGCTGTGGAAACAGATTGGCAGTCCGTCTCTTAAACAAACTGAAAACTTAGTGGCGTATACAGACATGGAAATCAAAACTCTTGGGAAGGCAAAAGTAGAAGTTGAATTTTTCAATTGTCGACCAAAAATACTATCTCTTTACGTAACCGAAACAAACGACATTCCTTTATTTGGTCTCGATTGGTGTCTTGCTTTTAACATACCTCTTCCACCAGGAGTCAAGTTATGCCAAATTAAAGAAAGAAACAACTCAACTACTTGAAAATCGGACACTAAATTCATCACTCATATCGGATATAGAAGCCAACGTTAATCACGTTCCAGAACTTGTAGCCGTACTTGAGGAATTTAGTGATTTATTTAATGGACA